TAGTGTGTCGTACGATGTCGTGTTTTTCAACGGCGACACCGAAAAGTAGAGGAGATTAAGATTTATCTCATTTATTATTTTCATTTAACCATCGAAATGGAGTTTCCAGCCGGAGCCGATTCGATTTTTTTCCATCGTCATCAAACAACAACAGCAACAGCAACAGCAGCAGCCGCAAAAGCGTCAATTCGTTCGTGCCATTTTTGAATAGAAGGAAGCATAAAATTAAGAAGCACAAAGAGAAACAATTATATCGAGATTATCGTCAAGCCGAAACACATAATTCATTGAAATCAACCATTGATTGTGTGTTCGTCCAGAGCGCGAAGTCAGCCTTCATTCGAGGAAACGTATGCGAGAGAGTAAGTTTTATTGAAAGTGGTCACAATTGATTTTTGCCCCGTCGGCCGCACATCGAACGGCCAAAGAGATTAAAGGAAAACAGCAAATATCTCTTTTGTCATCTTAAGCAAAATTTATGATTATTATGGTCGTGCAGGTTTATTTTCTTTCTCTCACTCTTTTTTCGCGTTCTCTCTCGCTCGCTCTATCTTCATCCAAGCACAGGACAAAACTATACACACACACACACACTCAACTACTTGACATGATCTTACATTGAAGTGCAAAAGGTCTTACGTACATCTAACCTAAAATCAAATTTAAATTTTTCGACGCGCGCGCACACGCTCACATCGCATATATCTGTATTTGTGCAGTGCAAGAAAAACAGATTAAGTCGAAAAAGGCAACCCTCCAAAAATAAAAATAGAAAGGCGAAGCGAACAGAAGAGAGAAGGCGAAAAATAAAATTATGAATAGTAATAATGGCAATAGTACACTCTGATCATTCTGTCACTATGTGAATTTCAACCATAGGCGCGTGTAGAATACAATCACAATCATTTCGACTGTGCGTACGTTAGCTACATAAAAGCAGACAAAAGAAATCCTAAACTCCCTTTGATGCGTTCGGGGATTGTTGTTGTTGTTTTTTTGCTGTGTGTTCCTTGTTCGCTTCGTTCGCTGGCTGGCTCGTGCGACCGGTTGATTGTATGAAAATGCGTTCAAAGTGTTTACGACCAGTGTGTGATTCACTAAAGCCTATTTTTTTTCAATATAATTGAGTACAGGCACACGATACACGATAAATATACGTACGTATATGTTTATAGTATGGCGCCGTATCGCATAGAAAAATGTTTTTAATTTATTTTTCTAGAATAAACGGCACACACATTTTAAACGGTTGTCATTTTGCAATAATTTTTCAAACAATATGTCATATCGAACCGTTACACTATTTGCTTGACACATTGAATTAATGCATCACATCCTTTTTAGTCGGGTTTGAAATAAAATTTCAAATTCTAATTCGTTTGTCAATGCGAACATTTTCGTTTTTTGAAGTTTGACAGGCAAAAATGACGAAAACAACAGAAAAATACAGAATTGACAATGGTTTTGTCGTTGAACAATCCATTGAATTTGACGGAATTTTCGCCCATTCGTATGTTTCACTTTAAATTTTTTTGGATTAGTGAAATGAAATGCAAGAAATGGATAATCACACCCATATATATACATATATATGGTATATATCACCAAATCATTGCCAATGTGAGAAAGAAAAACCCTTGCAACATGATTACAGATTGCGTAAGCATGTCAATTTTAAATCAACGAGCGGCACATGTATTTACTTGAGATTTCATTTAAATTTGATGTTGAAATGTGTATAATATTGGAATCTCGTTGAAGGTTTTGGTGCAAATAAAATTAACATTTCCAACCATGAAGTATAGCTGACTTTTGGAGGTCTAATAAATAATTCTATGAAAGAAGGCAAAAGTGAAATGGTCAAAGTGAAAAAAAAAAACATAATCAACGAAATGATACTGCTGTAGCAAGAAAAAAAAGTTTGAGAATGAGAGAGATATCATCGGCACACGCATATCGAAACAAGCCATGTATATGTACATTGTATAAATAATAATCTTGTTTCGTTGGCATTACGATTGATTCGATTCAAGTAAATCCATTTGTGCAAGCATCACATTTTGTGTACACAAGTACACACCGGGAATGTGATGGTGGTGGTGATGGCGCGTTTTACGTTGGAAGTAAAAGCACCGAAAAAAAAAGTGTATGAGTCACCAAACACCACCAAAAAACGGGCACATTCATAAGATGTGTACATTCCGTTTGATTGTAGTCGTCGTCGTTGTAGTCGTCATCATCGTCGTCATAATCATCGTTGTCGTCGTCGTCGCAGTCGACGGTGGGTTCTGCTTGATGCCTCTCATCTAAAAAAGAGTGATTGACATAGATTATTTTGTGTAGGGAGATTCGGGGCGAAAAGTGCGATTGATACGCTTGGTATTTTGATAAACGCGATTTCGCTCTCTCTCTTTCTCTCATGCACAGATGCTCGGTCTTTCGCTCGATTTTGAGCTGTATTTGCACTTTGTTGGCATGTGCTGCATGCGCCAAAAATATACGGTTTTATCTCATTTTATGTGCACTTCTTAAAATGGGTGAAACATATATACGGAGAGTGAGCGAGCTTGGTTCTACCATTGCCATTTCTATTGGCGTTGTTGTGTCATTCGAAGCCAAAACGACGGACCGATGATTTAAGTTGGTGTGGTGCGTGTGTTGTGTGTCTAAGCGCTACACACTGCTTGTCCTACAAAATAGAAACGTTGTTGTTGTTGATGACGATGATGATGTTGATGGTGGTGGTGTGTGTTGTGCTTGCAGGCGATTTTCTCCCATTCGGTTGGGATTATGAAGTATTTTGTTTCATCTTTCTTATTTCTGACTCATTTGACAGGCGAATATTCCACCGATAATCCACCACAATCAAACGAAATTGAAATAAAAATTGTTTTTCAAATCGTTGGAATGTCCTCATTCAGGATAGAAGATTTTTCCGGCCATTTTCCACATTTTCTCTCTACCCTTCTGTCTTGGCAACCAATTGTACAGCATCCAGCCATAGCTATTCGATACCATCGAAAATGGAAAAAAAAGAAGACGAGCAAAAAAAAAGAAAACCAGAGCAATTCCATGGAAAATCGCACACATAAATAGACACACTCAAACCAGAAGAAGGAGCGCGAGACTGATAGAGATACACACAGAGAGAGAGAGAGAGAGAGATATATAGAGTGAGAGAGAGCGCGCGCTATTTGCAATTTCTATCGTCATTTATCAAAAAGCAACTAAACCGTAATCCGGGCCTCAATGTACGCACTATGAAAATGCTAGCGCACTCTCTCTCTCTCTCTCTTCGTTCGTACTGCATATCGAATTTCACATAAATGGCAAACGTAAATTGAGTTAAGACAAAAATTAATCAACTTCAATTCGGAATGGGTTTACCCATCGCCATTATCTTCGAACACTGTGTGTGTCTCTATATCGATGAAACCATAAATGCCAGCCCATATAAGATTGCTCATAAGAAACCGATTTGGTAGTGTAGTAAGATGATTGAGCTCTCTAAGATTGACTCCTTATTCTACTTAGAAATTATTTCTACGTGCGCAAAGAGTTTAAAATAGGCGTGGCTTCCATGTCTTTTGAACGCACGATGGCAAACACGCAAGCGTCTCACGATTGGTTGTGCATATTTTTACAATTGGAATCACTCAACCAAAAAGAGTCGAGAGAGAGAGAGAGAGAGAGCAGAAAAAAGTACACCCGATAGCAACCACTTTTAACCAAAATGTAATTTACTAACTAGTGCTCGCTGTAAATGAAATGAATGTAGAAAAATAAAAAAAAAGAAATATATGTATAATATGGAAAAAAGCAACCACTGCTTGATCCACCACGGTGCATGTGTTCGGTTTTTGGTGCGTAACGAAAAAATTCGTATTGGAATATTTTGCCGCTTCGGCAGCTGCCTATTTAATGGCCATTGTTACTAATGCTATTGCTCGTTCGCTGTACACAACGCACACACACACACTCAATAGCAACGGAACGAAAGCAAGGAATCGAGGCACGAGCCGAGTCGTGTATGCTCTATTGCTGCGCTGCAATGTTTACATCGTGAATAGGGATAGCATTCACATGCATTGACGCCAAGCCGGTTTTTCAGATAGCTGAGTGTGTTTTAACATGTTAATTTTTTTTCGGTTCCAATATGAATCACTCTGGACGAACGTCGCCGTCGTTCATGTATGAATATGAGACCGAACACCCTGCTCTTCTCATCTACACGTGAATGTGTGTGCAACTCCTAATTTATGCGTTTCTTCAATTTTGAGGGGGTAGCCAAAAAGAAGAGTATACAACATAAACGTGAACTTGCATACACTCACACTGTTACACACTCGTTACTCATACAGTCTCAACACATATTCGGCCTTTTCTACTTCGATTCCACGTTTATAGTTCTTGTTTATTTTAAGTAAATAAAAATGTTTGAAATGCGAATACATACCCCAATGAGTTTCATACTGTACGCTCGATGCGTGTGCTCTCTCTCTTTCTCTCTCTCTCTCTCTCTTTCCATCTCGTACAAGTGTTGGTTCGGCCAAAGAACAAGAGAACAATCAAAACCATTTCGAAAATAACAGTTATCGGAGTGAATTTGATGCAGGACGAGCCAGTGTGTAAAGCATCGAAACGGTAAACGAGCGAAATGAACGGGAAAAATAAGGGAACATAGAAAATAGAGAGAGAGGAATAATACGAAACAAAATAATAATAATAAAAAAGCAGCAGCAGCAGCAGCGGCGGCAACAGAAACAACCCCATACACAACACACATTTCAAAGCGCGCGTTACATTAAATAGTGGTGGATGAAAAATATAATAGTTATAGACGAGAGAGAGAACGCAGATCGGTTTCTATGTGTATGCACATACAATACACACCATACACACAGTGGAATCGGGAATAAAAAGAGGGTGATGAAAGTGCATAAATATGAGAAACGTATCGATTGTATTGTCATTTTTGTTGTGGCCGTCGTTCAATTCACATACGCACATCGAAACAACAAAAATTCAATTTCATTTCGTTTGAAATTTCATTTCATTTGATTTTGCTCGGCCGTTAATTGCGAATACAACATAAATAAAACAACAGAATTTTAGTTTGGTTATTTGAATTGTGTGCGATTTTTTTGGTTTTTGAAATAAAAAAAAAGTGTGTAGAGTGAATTAAAAAAAAATTAATAATTTGATAAGCGTCAATCGAAACGCCATCGGAAATCATTTAAAATTGACAATAATAAACAAAAGTTGAGACAAGCGAAGCAGAGAGAGAGAGAGAGAAGGGAAACAACAGATTGATAGCGCTAGCGAATGGGAAAATAAGCGGTGACAAGTTGGAGGAATAAAATTCATGTCATTTCAATGGCCACATCAAAATCATATCGTTCGATGCCTTCAAGCAATATCAGTAAGTTTGCCAGCGACAATTCTGGTCTGCTGACGACGGTCGCCGATCTACCATACAATTTCAAATTGCAATATGTGAGCGTTGAAACGCCACTGGATTTATCGCTAAAGAGCGTACTTGGCCAAATAACACCACCACATTCACCGCAACGGTCGCCATTAAAAAAGCGACCATATCATCATGTTATCGAAACGGATGTCGTTGATGAAGATGATAAAAAGACCACTACGATTAAGAATGATCCTGGCAGTGACGTTGAGCCATCGCCGCCGCCAGCAAAGCTTGTCAAAAAAGAAGTTACACCGAATGGAAAACAAATCAAAGTGACTGCCATGCCAAAAACCCATAAGTCGGTGTCGACAAATAAAGCGGCTACAGCGGCAGCAGCAGCAACGGCACCGGTGGCTGCAAACAATGTAAAAGAGCATAAGCGTGTTAAGGCTGTGCGCAAATTGAAGTTCGATGAGAAAAAATCGTCGCCCGTATCGGGCACCATAATCCGTGCGCTTGACGAAATCGACAGCAATATTCCAATGGAATCGGGCGACATTGATCCACAATTCAATATTGTTGAAGTGACCGAAGAGGCAAAAGCCGAAATTGCCGCTATACCAAATGTGATTGGCGCTTATTTGTGTAAATTGTGTCAAATCGAGTTCGACGACGCATTCTGTTTGGCAAGACATCGTTGCTCATGCATTGTTCTATTGGAGTATCGTTGTCCCGAGTGTGGTAAACGCTTCAATTGTCCGGCCAATTTGGCATCACATCGTCGATGGCACAAACCAAAAGATGAAGTTATGAAAAAAGCCAACGAATCAAATGGATCAGGTGATGGTGGCGGTGACGAGAATGCCGTGCAGTATCCGTGTAATTTGTGTGGAAAGTTTTTCAAGCGTCAAGCCTATTTGCGAAAGCATTTAGTGACGCACAATAAACCAAACAGTAAAACAAATAAACGAACCGTTCTGTCGGCCAGTGATTCAAACGACGATGGTGTTAGCAATGGTGGTGGTGGTAGTGGTGTTGATGGTGGCAAAAGCATCAATGCCAATGGCAATACCAGTGCTACGAAAAATGCACGAACCAACGGTAACAATCACGCAACAAACAACAGCAACAGCAACAGCAACAGCAACAGCAATAGTGGCCACCGAACCAAAAGTGTTTGCAGCGATGACTCAGTATCGTCGTCACAGGATTCGATTGCATCGAGCGTACGCTTTACATTCAATGTTAATTCGTCGAATGATGTGAATAATGCCAACGAAACAAGAAACTATGACGACGTTCAGCCATCCAGTTCACCCACACATTTTCGACTGTTTAAAAGTGACATTTTTACGGAAGAGGAAAATATTGCTGCGGCCGCTCTGGCTCACCTGAGACACGCCAAAGATTCCGTCATACGACACACCACCGCATTATCAACGTAGGACCAAAATGGGAATCAAGCGGATTTTTGCCGATTTGATTCATCTGTGCGACACCACCGTGGACGACGACGACGACAACAACTACAACGACGGGCCGCCCATTCCTCCTGCTGCCACTCGCAACAGTATCAACTCATTTTGTGTGTACATATACGAGCAAAAACAGAGAATATACTAATTTATTGATTCGATTTAGGATTTTATGACAAACACTTTAAGTAGAAACAGTAACAAGGAATTATCAAGCGATTTCGATGTTCGACATCGACGTCGACACGTCAACGTTCGTCGATTTGTTCGTGGAATCGCCTCAATATGTTAGTAAATGTCAATTATAGCTAAGCTTTTCTACCCATTCCATGGAAATGATTTTCTTTTATATTTATTTATTTATTGTACGCACACCTTATTTTCTTTTTTCGGCGTCTATTTTCATTCCAAATGAAATCTCTTTTGCAATTGTTTTCATCTATACAGACACAGAGAGAGAGAGTGAGAGAGAGAGAGAGAGAGAGAGAGAAAGGACAATATATTTTTTTTATTTGATTTTTTTTTATTTGTCTTTATTTTGATGCTTTTTTTCGTCATATTATTTTATTTTTATTTTAAAAAGAATTTTATATGATTATCCACGACGTTTCGTCTCGAAACAACGATGGAATAACATACACGGATGAGTATCATCTAGTCAGAGTGTTTTCGAATTGAACGCAATTCGAAAACGATATATTTTATACTACATATAGGATATGTAACTTAATTTTAACGAAGAAGAAAACGAAGAACGAAAGGAGAAAACGAGAAAAAAGATGAAAATGCGCTTTCCGAGCTCAAAAATAATTGTTTCCCATTCATTCGTTGCGTCGATCGAGTTTCGTTCGACGATTGATATGACAAATAAGTAAGAAACCGATCGATTTTAAAAATTGTCGTCTGAAGCTTTTAGATGAAATCAAGTAGAAAAGAGAACTTAAGGAATATTTTTCTACATACACATACACATACACACATACATTCAAAGATATCAAGAGCTTAGTTTTAATGGAATAGCGTTAGCGACGACCGACAGCGATGTCGTGTCTCACTCTCTATTTGACGCTGGAAAATTTAGTATTTTAAATGTTCTTTTATTTTCATATAAATAAATATAAGAGAAACAAAGTGTGTACACTTAAATGGCGCACATTTTTCTTTCGTTGTGCAATCCCGTCGCTTTCTTCATATGTGTCATAATGATCTCGCCCAATTTTTCGAATCGATTGTGAAAACACTGCAAGTTTTTTTCGCATCCGACGGAGAGAGAGTGAGAGACAGAGATTAGATTAATTGAATTAGATAATGGATTTTTAATTTATTTTTAGACACTTAAGTTGTAATTCTCAAATGCCGATATGATTGCCATGGCCAAACATATCGCACCACACAGCTAATACCAAAAAAAAAAAACAAGTAAAGCCGATGAAACGAAAAAAGCGTAATAATAAACCGTAGAATCGTGTGCGGCTACTACAAAGTAATTAGCCCGTAGGAATTTGAAATAAGCCGTAGATAAGTGCGTGTGCATTCGTTCATTCAGAAAATCATGTTACAGAACCAAAATGATGCATTGGACTATTAAACGTGACTCTTGATGATAACACACACGTGCTAATTGTCTAGCTACAGATTTTCTTCTGTTTTTTTTTTCTCTATCCAATTTTCCAATCTATTTTATTATTAATTCGTTGCATTTCTCTTACGTTAAGATGTATATATAGCTCATATCACACCAGGAAATGTTCCCTGCGCGCGCCGTGCACATCCACAGCGAGAGCGCCGTTAATTTTCAAATATCAAAATGCATAACATAAAAATTTAATCGCTTTACATATCTATGATGTGTGCGTGTGTATTTTTGTTTGTTCGTTGTTTGCATAAGGCCACTAATGCGCTACACAGTTGCAATTTTCCACGTTAAAGAATTTCCATTCTTGCATCCTGAAATATATATATATACATTCGAGAGACGTACACTCACACATTCCCTTCCGTTCGAGTTCGCATACACTTCGATCCATTGCGAAAGCAACCGAAGAGAACATGAAGAAAATAACATATCACATTTGACATTCAATATCTTATGAAAATACAATGAGCGAATTTGAATTATTTTTATCACAGATTCAATATTCGTCTCGTTGACAGGCCAAAAATGTATTTTGCGTAGCAAACGACACCGAACATATTATAGCATTTAGATTTCATTTTTCTCTTTCTCGTCCTTACCTACTACGAATGGACTTACATATACATATATTTTTAGAAAGTAAGAAACAGAAGCATTTCAAATTCGAAAATAAGAAAATAAATGCATGGAAATTTTCAATTGAACAGAAAGAATGAAAGAAGAAAAAAAAACGTACCGAAGAAAAGCATTGAAGAGGAAAATAAATACACATATTTTGTAATTTGAAATAGTTTCGTTTCGTCAAACGCAACAAAGAATACACAATAATAAAAAAAAAAGAAGAGAGAACTAAAAAGAAAATACATGGATTTGCCTTGAGACCAACTCACTGCCTTCGATAAATACAAAATGAGAGAATAATCATGAAGAAAGAAACATATATATATATATTTATTACAAAATCCAGGAGAATAACGTGCATTGTCGCAATAACATATACAAAATATTTCTACAAAATATATACGCATATATTTTTTGCGTAAAATATACAGAGGACCATCAGTTGCCTGTCTCTATATTAAATCCGAAAACAATGATAACACAAACCGTAGAAATGAATTCAACTAGACAAAGAATGGCGCACAACATTTGGTTTCATTTCACCGACTCGATGTCAGACGCATGATGAAGTAAATTTTATGAATATTTTAGATGTTTAGATAATAAATAGAAAAATATAAACAACAACAAAAAAAAACATTCTTGTGATAAATGATAATAAATGTTAGGACACAAATGATTTTAACTCAAAATACCACAAATACGACAATCACTTTGGTTCATGTTCATTCGCAGTGGCTTTGCGGTGGTGTGTTCCGTTCAAATAAAATTTTTTTTTCTCATATATTCGGAATTCAAGTCTGAATGAACGAACAAAGAAGATATTGAAAGGCATTAGGAGTGAAGAAACGGAAAATTCCAAATTTGCTCATCAAATCCATGTATGTAACCTCAGGTAATAGGAAAAGGATACTTTGAACGAACTCAAGAACAACAAAGCAATCCATTGGAGCTACATTTAAGTCAAAGTAAATCATTAAACATTGACAAACATGAAGCTATAACGCAACTTAAATAGACTGATAAGATCAAAGTTTTGTGGGTGCTTTTAATTTTCGAGCAAAATCTATTTTGCCATTAGCAATAAATTGTCACGGGGGAAATGTATGCAAATTGAAATTGGGCTTATTTCCCGCATTTGCTGTAAGTCAACTCCATCGTCCTAATGAAATTTAAATGAAATTTTAATAACAAAGTTTTAAGTTTGAAAGAGAAAGAAAAAAAACACCCGAAGAATAGGGATGACAAAATTGAAGACAAGGCACTTCGTTTCCACATAAGCCACACTAGTGAACATGAATATTCGATAGATTTGTTGAAATCAAACGAACAACCAATTTTTTTTTCCTTCAAATAACGGAGTTTAAAGACATGGAATTGTGTGTTGGAATTAATACAAAACGTTACATTTTAAGACATACTTGTAAAGCGCAACCCACAAACAATCGAATCGACATATAATAGTTATTTGCGATTTACACATTTTGTATTTTTCTACATTCTTTTTGATAAATGACAAAAAAAAAAACGTACAAAAAATCAATAATCAACCCGTTGTTTAATTTCATTTTGATTGTATGTTGATAGGTGTGTATTATTGAACGGCTTGTCGGATTTGATTCTGTCCGGATGGCGATGTGAATTGTGTTGATTTGAAAAATGTTGCGTACGCATCGCTGCGATGATGAGGATGTGATTTAAAATTGTATGCATACAATTGCGTAAATTTGAGCAAAAGAAATTTAGAAATGAAAAATGACGGTAATTAAACTTTTCGCGAAGGGAAAAACTTGAAACAAAATGCACTTGGTATGGTGTGAAAAGAATTACAAGTTTTTAGCGAGAAGCACATGACTGCCAGAGCGGCATTTGAACGGCAACGGTGACGGTGGTAGTAGCAACAACAGCAGCAGCAGCGGCGTGTCGATGATAAAAGCCCGTCTGTTCACGGCTTGTCGAGTGCGGTAGCGGCAAAATCGAAGTTTTGAACCAATGGGTTTGTAGGTGCACTGTAGAGCGTGTCGACACACAGTTTTGCATACCGATAGGCGTTTTTTTTTGTTTTGGATCGTGAACTTTCTCTCACTCTCTTTTTCGCCTTCTCTCTCTCTCTCTGCACCTCCAATCGTTGCCGTTCCGTTGGAATTTCAAGTCCTTTTGCTCTATTTTAAACTCATTAGCTACACCATAATTAACTTTTGCACTAACTGTATGGGTATGTGTAGTTCGTTTGGAACGCCGGGGAAAAAGTGAACCGAAGCGCGAAAATCCTACCGGCTTCAGAATATGAGCAATTTTATTTTCACGATTGGTTATGGAAAGCAAATGCAAGCAGCAACAAAAACCAAATGGATGAAGAAGAAAAATAGAGCGAGAAAGAGACAGAGAATCTCGTTCCCCATAGAGAGAAGAAAATTTCATTAGCCTCTTTCTTACGGGTGAAATTCTGGGTAAAACTTGCGCGTCCGTGTGTTGATACACACGACTTTTGTGAAAAAGAAGAAAAAAAAACGGAATGCTGTATGCAATGCTGAAATAACATGCACTGAACGCACTGAATGGCTCTTTCTCATTTATCGCATATGAGAGAGTACACCGAGAATGAAGAGGAAAAAAACACGAAATGTGTGTGCATGTGTCTATATGTGTATGCGTCAGCAAAAGAGTGTGTTGTCAGGTGAATTGAATTTAAATTAGATTTGAGAGAAGCAAGTAGATACGACGAGCAAAAGACATGTACGCAATATTAAATTATAGAAAAATTTTCATGTAACACATTTTTGTTGTTGTTTCATATACACATTTTTGTTTCCTTCAACTCATCGCATCCGTGGAGATGGGGCGAGAGTGAGCAGAGAGAGAGAGAGAGAGAGAGAGAGAGAGAGAGAGAGAGAGAGAGAGAGAG